AATGTCATGTGGTCAGATGAAACGAAAGTAGAACTTTTTGGTATAAACTCAACTCATCGTGTTTGGAGGAAGAAGAATACTGAGTTGCATCCCAAGAACACCATACCTACTGTGAAGCATGGGGGTGGGAACATCATGCTTTGGGGCTGTTTTTCTGCTAAGGGGACAGGACGACTGATCCGTGTTAAGGAAAGAATGAATGGGGCCATGTATCATGAGATTCTGAGCCAAAACCTCCTTCCATCAGTGAGAGCTTTGAAGATTAAACGTGGCTGGGTCTTCCAACACGACAATGATCCAAACACACCGCCCGGGCAACAAAGGAGTGGCTCCGTAAGAAGCATTTGAAAGTCCTGGAGTGGCCTGGCCAGTCTCCAGACCTCAACCCCATAGAAAATCTGTGGAGGGAGTTGAAAGTCAGTGTTGCTCGGCGACAGCCCAGAAACATCACTGCTCTCGAAGATCTGCATGGAGGAATGGGCCAAAATACCAGCTACTGTGTGTGCAAACCTGGTAAAGACCTACAGTAATCGTTTGACCTCTGTTATTGCCAACAAAGGTTTATGTTACAAAGTATTGAGTTGAATTTTTGTTATTGACCAAATACTTATTTTCCACCCTGATTTACAAATAAATTCTTTAAAAAATCCTGCCATGTGAATTCATGGATTTTTTTTTCACATTCTGTCTCTCAAAGTTGAAGTGTACCTATGATGTAAATTACTGACCTCTGTCATCATTTTAAGTGGGAGAACTTGCACAGTCGGTGGCTGGCTAAATACTTTTTTGCCCCACTGTACCTACAGGATGCAATAAATGTTTACAAGGCTGGGTTTGGACCATAACATTCTTCCTTGGGTCTTCTTTCCTCCGGTTGGACATGCCCGGAAAACCTCACCAGGGGAGGCTTACCAGATGCCAGAGCCACTTCAACTGGCTCCTCTCGATAGTAGGGCTGGGCGATATGGCCAAAAATAAAATCTCCTATTTTATTTGCTTTAATTCGATTTCCGTTTTTTCCGATTAACCCCCCCCCCCCCCCCCCCAGAAAGGACACCAAGAAGTACAAACAGCAGACCACTTAAAGCTAATTTTGCTTTTATTTAATCAAAAGCAAAATGTGTAATGCGGGGGCTGACACGCGTTTAGCCGTCAGAGGCAAGGGACTCATGCGGCAATATTACTACGAGGCTAAGCGCATCAGAATAGTTTTATCACCTTACTCCTTGCCGCATTTACTAGACACACAAATTAAAGAGGCTAATGTGAAGGAGCAGTGAGTCTACTTCTGAGCCCATTCCAGATGACAGAGCTTCTCACCGTATCTCTAAAGCTTGGTTTATGCTTGACTCATTCACTTTCCGCGCGGTGATGTGGCTCACAGATGGAACGCGCTTCACAACTTGCAGCGGTTTATGAATCGTGTGGCTCGTCTCTGCAGTGAGCCAATATTCCTCCCAAACTGTAGGGGGCAGCATGAAGCTCTACAGCATGCATCCAACACTACACCATAGTAGAAGTAGAAATTACTGTTTACAACATGGCATTTCAGCATTTTTAACAGCGTCCTCGTCTTTTCCGACAGTGCGAGCTATTTCTCTCCAAGAATTATTAACAACATGTTGATCACGGTGATCTTTGAGAGCTGAATCATACAAATGTCTGTATTTACGAACCTCTGCCATACTAGTTCTTGCCGGTTCGCCATGTTTTTCCGCGTCCGTTCCGTCCGCGTGGTTAGAAATTTTCCGAGGTGCGCATTGCGGAAATTCTGGGCCGTGCGGAGACTCGGTGGAGGGGCGTGGTTGTTAAAATGATGCAAAATTAGGGCTGGGGGGTAAACGATTATTTTTAAAACGATTATTCTGACGATTATTTTATCGAATAGTCGACTATTCTAATGACTATTTAGAAAATTAATCTAATGATTATTTTTCTATTGCACAATTAACAAAAACCAGAAAATCTCAAATAAATTCCTCAAAAAAATTGATAAATTCTTACTGTAAGAGAATAAACACTGCAGGCCTTCCATTTTGTATAACACTGCGTTTATTGTGTTGCGGTTGGTTATGTTCTGGTGACGTGTCGAACTTTGGAGTGCAGGCTGCTGCCTGAGAGGTGGTAGAAGATGGAGTGTCTCCATGCTGCTTTGTTTTGGTCACTTATGTGCGTGAGGCGAGTGGTCTTACGGGTTAAACCAAACTCAGGTGATATTTTACACTAAACCAAAAAACCCACAACACTCTAAATGTAATAAAAGGGAGATCTACACCACAAAAAAGATGAACTCTAAACCAAAACGTAACAGCTTATCCCAACGCAAGAAGCTGTTAGCAAAAATGCTAACAGTAGCTTTACCAACGTTAAGTTCAAGTTACCAAGTTTAAATAAACCAAAAACACCCAGCAGCAAACAGACCAGCACGGAGGAGAGACTGCTACCACCAAAACAGCTCTCCTAATGTCTGAAAGAAGCTCCTTAATGAAGGGAGAAGCGCTCCCGGTGATTTTCTACATCTGCGATAGACACGAAGCAGCGCATCTGACCCCGGAAGTTGTTGTCCGTTGCCGGGAGACGAAGGGGCAAAACAGGAAAATAATCTAGTAGCGGACGGACGTTGTTCCGGGTCTTCGGTATTTGGCGGAGATGTTAGTGAAGGCGGAGAAGAGGGCGAACTAGAGGAAAAACAGGCAGAGTCCTCCTCTATTTACAAACTCCTGGGATGCAACAAGTGGGCGCGGTGCGTCGACTTCCGGATCTGACGTCGACAAATTTTTAGAATCGAGCCGTCGACTTCGTCGAGGCTTCGCTACAGCCCTACGCAAATGACGGCAACTTTTCCGCGCGGAGCCGTGCGGACCTCGCGGACGCGTCAAGCATAAACCAACCTTAAGGGAGAGCCCAGACACTCTGTGAAGGAAACTCATTTTAGGGTTGGGCATCGTTTATTTTGAACGATTCCGGTTTCAATTCCTTGTTTCAATTCCGGTTCCTATCGATTCCGATTCCGATTCTTTCAAAACATGACATGTTTTACATGAACCAGATAACCACAGGTCCTACTTGATGAAATAATCTTAACTTCAACATGAATTTTAATTCAATGAACAATAACATCACCTTCATTTAGACAGAAACATGTTTTTGGAGAAAAAAAGAAAAAGACTTGCAGCACAACCAGTGTGTTTGTTTCTGACCACAACCAAAGTCTGGAAGAAGCCTCTGGGATGAAAGGCTAAATGTCTCCAACATATCCAGAAACGTCAGCTGTTTTCAGCTAAAACTCTCAGGATGATCATGTCCAGGATGACTGAGAACTACACCTCCATGCTGCAGCAGCATTCAGTCAGAACAGAATGTAAAACTTAAACGTAGCCGCTGTCAGTAACAGATTTTAAACATTAAAACTCTCAACAGAAATGGTTCAGAAAGGAAATTAAAATGTTCACAGCTTTGTGTGTGATTTATTATTATTATTATTATTATTTATTGTGGCAGAAGCTGGTGTGGTCCCACACAGAGAAGCTTCTCTACCATGATGACATTAATTATTCTACAGTTCAGCCTTCTGACGCTCACACACACAACACACACATGTGTTGAGTGGCTGCGTCTGACTGCTGATGCTCCGTGTGTGTTTTTATTCTGCTCTGAGACAAACTCACCTCACACCATCCAGAGTTTGTTCTTTAAAGCTTTTATTAAATCCACCATGTTGACGTATTTTAACAAGTGTCCTCTAAGCTGCAGGAGTTAAAGTTTACATTAGGGAGTAAAAGTTCGGCAGATGCGTTTGTTTATATTTGGCCGCTGCGTGCCAGGTGAGGGGAGGGGGGACTTGGTGCTGCACACAGACAGCTGGTGTCATCAGCTCTGAAAAGCGTTGATCACAATCTGCAGATCACGTTTATTTTTCACGGAGATCGGCCGCGGATTCCTCTTCTGGTCGGCATTCTAGGAATCAAAACTAGGCATCGAAAAAAAAACTTTACGATTCCGGTAAAAAAGAACAGTTGGGACTGGTTCCAATCAATGCTCGATGCTCAAACCTAACTCATTTCAGTTGCCTGTATTTGCGATTTCATTCTTTCGGTCACTACCCAAAGCTCGTGACCATAGATAGGGGTGAGAACATAGATCGATAGGTAACACACAACAGACTGGTACAACGCCTGCATCATTGCAAATGAATGAATAGTGTATCCATCAAATTAAAATATGGCTTGTTGGAAATTTGTTCTGATTGTCCGGCGTTGAAAAGCAGTCACGTTTTTACAAAATACACAAAAACTGAATGAATGTTTAAAAAAGATATGTTCTAAAAACTTACCCGGACACACTAAAGGGCACTAAAGGTAATAAATATCTGCTTCTTTACTGATATCCAGTCTTAATCTTAATTTCTTAATCTTAATTTCTGGTAATGATGTAAACCAATATTCTGGGAAAATTCAAATAGTTTTAGGTAACCCAATGTCACATGTCTCTTATCATACATACTTCCACCTAAAACATTGTCTGTGCCAAATATGACAACTACTTTAATGTAAATTAAGCAATGGAAGAAACGTTAATGAGATAATCCCTGAGATAATCCTGACAAACACCCACTTGACTGGACAGATTTCTTCTTCAAAAGTTGTACCAAACAAAAACACATCAAAACTTTTTCCTGGACCTTTCATATTTGAGTGAGAGAAGCAGCAGAAGAGTGTGATGTATAATACGGTATAGTGTGTAAAAGTTGGTTATTAAGAGGAGGAAACGATCATTAATATTGCGAATGTCGGACATTGCTAAATACAAGTTAAGTTGGTTTATGGATCACCTTATAACAGACGTTTGTGGAAACCATTAAATATTTTTAACATCTACAAACTCTTTCCACTCCGGATTAAATGGTTGCGAAGCATAATTTTCCATTCTAGTGAAACGAAAGCATTTTTGTTATTAGAAGTAATTTTAATGAGTTTTCTTTGCTGTTTTTTCTCTTGCAGAGACCCGGTATGCCTCCATCTAGCCGCATGACACCACAGGGGCCAGCAATGGGGCCACCTGGTACGGCGGGAGCCCCGTGTCTCGTCCTGGGATGCCCGGGGTGATGGACCCTTCCAGAAAAAGGCCGGCCCCCCAGCAGATTCAGCAAGTTCAGCAGCAGAATCGCAACCAGCAGTGAGTCACGCGCAGCCAGAGCTTAGGTTTTATTATGTCCACTGGAGCATCACTGGTCATTTTTACCCATTTCAGCCTGTAGAAAAGCAAAACACATGTTGAATGAGTTCAGAGGTTTTTATAGTTCTGTTCTTGCTTCTGGTCTTTTTTAAACGATAAGTAACCCAGCTGAAACTTCTTTTTCCATTTGGTCAAATCACATCTTCACAGTAAAAATTGACTTAAAAAACACAAGTATTTTAAAATGTAATTGTAAAAAAAGATTTGATAAATCAAACATCGGTATTTCATTTATATTTAATAAGCTGAACTTTCAGCTGATTTTTTTAAAGGAGAAAAGTCGTATAACTTTGCCATAATTAATTATCTTTATGATGTATCTGTAGGATTTGATTTAGGACCAACAGGATTATTAACCCAGATCACGATGTCTGAGTTAGTAACTGGAATATGGTGGTAATGAGGTTTGTTTGTGTGGTGACGGTGTGTTTGTGTGACTTTACACCAGTTTTGAAGGCTGTAGAAGTCTACGTAAAGGCTTTCCTGCCTTCTGTTTTTATGGACACGTTTGTAAAGATTTAAACTTAATTTATCTTTTATAACTTTTTTTTTAAAGCACAAAGAAGAAGAAGATGGCTGATAAAATTCTACCTCAGAGGGTGAGTGTTAGACTGCAGCGCATGGAAATGATACTGAATCTAATCACCCCACGCCATGATTAGAACTTCCTGTAATTGTGTTTTGTTGCACATCTGTTGGTGTGTTTTAGATCAGGGAACTGGTCCCAGAGTCTCAGGCTTACATGGATCTGCTGGCGTTTGAGAGGAAGCTGGATCAGACCATTATGCGTAAGAGGCTGGACATTCAGGAGGCCCTCAAGAGACCCATTAAGGTTTCACCTGTTGCACTTTTTCATACATTA